CCGGACATGTCCGGCTTTTCGGCAGTCAAACCCCCATCCGGGGGGGATTGCCAAAAAGCCGAACGTGTCCGGGAAAATGCCGGCCGGGCACTTCCCCTCCCGCGGCTGCTCTGCTCCTCCCCCGGCTCTTTGCCTCTGTTTAAGAGCCGAGCGCTATGAGCTTTGGGCAGCCCCCATGCCTCCGGAACCTGCGCCGCCGGAGCCCGGGAGGGGAAGTGCCCGGCCGGCGGCTGGGGTCCGGAGGCAAGGGGGCTGCCTGAAGCCCATAGCGCTCGGGCAGCTCGGCTCTTAAACAGAGGCAAAGAGTCAGGGGAGGAGCAGAGCAGCCGCGGGAGGGGAAGTGCCCGGCCGGCATTTTCCCGGACACGTTCGGCTTTTTGGCAATTCCCCCCGGACGGGGGTTTGACTGCCGAAAAGCCGGACATGTCCGGGAAAAACTGGACTTATGGTAACCCTAGGGTGGGGCCACTGAGAGAGGCCAGCACCAGAAGAGGCTGGTGCCAGGGGCAGGGGCTGCACTACACAGGTGGGGGGAGCCAATTAGTTGCCCCCCCATGAAGCCCAGCCACTGCCTGCGACGCTCCACACCTGCCCAAGGCTTGCTGTTTGGGGGGCAACGTGGCCCCCTGCCTCCAAACTGTGCCCATGTTGAAAAGTGGGCGGGGCTTTGTCATTCCACTTTAAAAAATGGGAGGGGCGGGATATGGGCCCCTGGATCTCCTTCCTGCTTAATGGGTTATTTTTAGGGCTGTGTGTCATGGTCGCTGTTGGTTTGGTTGGGAACTTTAGCTACAATCTCATGAAGATATTTGCACTGTAATTTTCTCATAACTCAAAGACAGTCTCCACCTGCAATCTCACCCTGTGTGTGTGCTCCTAGGGATTCCCAAGTTTGGGTCTCCAGTTCAGAGGACAGTGTGTCTGGCGGGGGAAAGGAGAAAAGAGAGGAGATTTTAGGCTTTCATATTTATAACCGCGGAATCTCATATTTATAACTCTGAACTCAGAGAACTGGTTTTAATTATGACAGAGAAGCAGACAGACACACACTCAGGTATTTAATATAAACTAATCTGAAACCTTCTATTTCTCTCTCATTCAGGCATCTCTCAGCCATGGAACCAACATCCATGAAGCCTCACAACCATCCCAGGACAGACAATCTGTAAGAGAGATTTACTTTTCCCCTCCTTCTCCCCTCCCACCTTTCAGACCCCAGTTGGTTTGTCTCATTCATTTGCTGCCTTTGTCATAACCTAGACCCCACCCCACCCCCTGTTATGCAAAGACTTTGGCATGAAATTAACTTTTCCCATGTTGGTTCCCTTGGCACAAGTTCCTGTGGAGGACAGATTCCTTACCCCATGGAAGGGGCTTTCTCCTCCCCTACAGCCCGTTTGGCCCAGACTAGCTGCCATACGGGACCAGAGCACAGTGATGGGCTGAGTCCAGCTTTAACAAATGGCCTTTAATTTAGGGTCTAGATTTTGGATGGTCACCTTTAGGCTCCAAGGCCTGGCTCTCAGAGGGGTTGAGCACCTGCAGGTCCCATTGACTCTGCCTGCAGCTGCAGAGGTTACACAGCTCTGGAGCACCTGTCCTGCAGTTCTCTAGCTGGGAGCGAGAAATGCAGGTGTCCCAAGTTAGGCCAGTTTGCTAAATTGGGGCCTGTATGTTGTGACTTTTTGTAAATCCCGAATTCATGGAGTTCAGCAGGGAGCCCTGCAGCTCTCAGCTGCTGCTGGCAGCAGGCCCCAGGAGTTCCTAGTCGCTGCGGACGCTGAGGGAACCCCGGAGCTCCCAACTGCTGCGGGGGACAGGGAAGGGGACCCCAGAGTCCCCAATCACTGGGGGGGCTGGACCCTCCTTATTCCCCATTTTACAGGGATATTTTTGGGAAAAATCCCAGACAGGTCATGGGCTTCTGTGAATTTTTGTGACCTGTCTGTGATTTTTACTAATAATATCTGAGATGAAATCTGAGTCTTAATAATAATTCAGTCAGAAAAGAGAACAATAACAGGCATATGGCTTGGCCATCCAAAGCCCCGCCAATTCGAAAGTTTGTGTATGTGTAGTGTATGGGTTACATAATATACTAATATTCATAACTCTCAAAGGTGTTTGGAAAAGAACTAATACATAGATCATTTGGACCCGTATAATATGTCAGACACCGTAAGGAGATGTCGGAGCTTCATAGGAGAAATTCAGTGTGACCTGCCTATGCCCCAGGAGAAGATAATAGGCTGGTTCTTCTTTCTGTATGTCTCTCATCGCTTACTTTAACAGTCACTGTAATGGCAGGCATGCTTTTGGTACAAACAAAGGTTTGAATTAATCAGCCTGAGTGACTTGGACCTAGAGGGTGTGGCATTCGCACCCAACAATATAATAGAAGCATTGTCTAATTATGTACCAATCGGCCAGAACCCACTCTCCTCCCACAGTCTCAGAGGCTCATCCCAATTTCCCCTCCTAGATCCCTTCTTGGTACCTTCGGATTCCCTCGGAGTCGCCATTGGAGCAACAGGTTTCTGGGAGAAATCGCTGAGTCTCTTTTCCAGTTCAGGAGAAATCTCCTCTGGCTGCTGGAACTTCCCCTTCTCACACCTGGACAGAAACAATTTCACATGGTTTACTGCATGTAGTGACACTATAATTTGTTGTCAGTGAAAGTTGCTGCTCTAATGGGGCTGGAGTTAGAATCCTCTGCTTCTCCCAGCCTCAGAGCAGGTGTAGTTCAGGCTCTGCCAGTCAAACCTTCCCTCTGAAGATCCCATTGATATTGTTCAACTCTGGCCTGGAGAGACCAGCTATGGCGATAAAAGGGGAATTGAGTCTCTATGCACTCCTTGGCCTCCATGCGCTGAGCGACAGGAGATTCCCATGTTCAGTGTTGTAGAAATCTGTCCACTAAAAACTGAGACACGAGCGCCCTCCTCCCGAATTCATTCCACCCAGGTCTCCAAACAGCCCTCAGCTGGGAAAGACTCTCGACCACTGCTGCCCTGAGCTGAATGGTGACCAGTGCCCCAGCAGTGACAGGTCCATATTCCAGCCCCTCAATCCCCCAGGGATGTCACATCTCTAGGAAATACTTGAGGTCAGTGCTTCTCACTGCATGGAGAATTGCAGAGTCGTCTAGAAAAAGTGAGACGCTCAGGATAAAGTTTAAGAGAGAATTTTGTATCCAACATGTGACTTCCCCGCACATTTTGCTGTAGAGCCTGGGGGAGATGTGATGCTAACATCGTCTCCAAGCTCTTTCCCAGTGTTGTGAAGTGTGAGGGAGAGTGAGAAGAACCACGTACCTGCTCAAGGTGCTTCTGATGTCCTGGAGGGAAAGACAGAAAGAATCTATCACTCAACGAAGGCTTTACAGAGCTGAATAATGCAGTTACATAACCCATGAACGCTTATGCCCAAATACATTTGTTGGTCTCTAAGGTGCCACAAAAACTCCTTGTTGGTTTTTTTTTTTTTTGTTTGCAGTTACACTGGGTTCCCTGCAGCCATGGGACCCTCTTGCTCAAATGCCCCAAGTGGGAAATGTTTTGGAAAAGAATTCAGCTTCTCAGAGCCATGTTTCTTTCACTGGACATCATTAAAGTTTTCATGACGCATAATGTATTTTTTTAGTACGTTTTGTACAATGGAGGCATTACAAAGCTCAGTGATGCAGGTACACCAATAGCCACGGTAGGCAACTTGCTATGAAATTAATCTGAAATTAAAATCCAAAATTATTCATCCAATGAATAGCTTAATAAATTATACAAAATCTAAAGTTATTCAGCTTAACAGCAATTCCTGACTTTGTACTCCTAGGCAGTCTCCTCTTTGGGAACCACCAGGTGAGCTCTGTCGCAAACCAGACAGGTCGAAGTTTGATCCTCTTCACAGAAGAGTTTCAGAGGCTCCTGGGGTTCCCCACACACCCTCTGCCTTCCTGCTCCCTTCGTTGCCTCTAAACCCAGCTGTTTCTAGCTCCTTCACCAGGTGCCTGTTTGGCCTGAGGTTTCTCTGTTGCACAGTTTCTCTTTACTGAGGGCCAGTGGCAGATTAACACACGGGGCCACTGAGTCCCAGCCAATTTGGGGCCCCCAGAGCACCGGAACATGTGCACAAGGGGGGGCGGGAGAGGAGGAGCAGGGTGAGGAGGGGGTAAGGCCCATCTCAGTCCATCCCCCCACCAGGAGGAGGCTGGCACAGGCCTGTCTACCCAAGGCTAAAGAGGCGATGTGTGGTGGCGGCATGCAGGCCGGGGTCACGTACCCCCCAGATCTCTCAAGATGCCCGTGGCGGGGATGCCCGGCGCGAGGAGGCAGCGCTCCCCCTGGCAGAGAGGGAGGAAGGAGCAGGGGGCTGGCTGCCTGCTGAGCTCTTTCCCCGCCACACGGGGCTGCTTCGCCCTCTCGACTGCCTGAGTCCCAGGGTTGCTGCCTGCTCTGCGGACTATCCACCGAGGTGGGGCAGGGGGTGGAGGCAGAGGCAACCTGTGGGACTCCAGCAGCAGGGAGGGTGAAGCAGCCCCACTGATGGCTGGGGGAGGAGCCTGGCACAGTGGGGTCCTGGTCCTTGACTGAAGCTCTCAGGTGCTATGATAATACAGCCACTAGCCCTGCGCTTCCTCCCTGCCCGGGCTACACAGCCACACAGAGCACCGCTGCCAAGGGGAGAGCTGCTGGGCATCTGCACCACAGGGGCCCCGAGATATCGGGAGGGGGGGGTGACCCCCCCAGAACCTTTTATTTGTCCCCCTCACTAGCCACAGCTACGTGTCACCTCGTTAAAATGTGGGGGGAGGCGATGGCTGCCCTCCCCGGTTCTGGCGCCCCCTGGTCACCAGAGTGTGTGGGGCCCAACTGTTCTTTGTGCCCAGGGCCTCAATAAATCTTAATCCACCTCTGCTGAGGGCAGGAGGCGGCTGTATCGGATCCCTCCCAGCACTGGGGGCTGCAGGCTCGGCTCGGCTGAAATTGTGGCCACCCTCCAGAGTGGCAGGTTCTCGGACCTACTCCGGACAGATGGGACGAGCAGCTTCATCCTGGAGCCTTTCCACAGGGTGCTCTGCAGCCATGGCTCCCTCTGGCCAGCGTAACAGGGTAAGGTTCGCTTTCCTGAGCTCAGAAATGTGCCCCACCTGCAACACAACTGGGTGTTTCCCTTTGCTGTGTGCTAAAGGTCAAGCACCAAAGAACCACCCTGAGAGAAGCTCAGGGGGTTGAAAGATAGCTAGCAATGACGCACAGATTTGTGAGGGTCAAGGGACAATTTTGGAGCCATTGAACCTGAGTAATGCACAAACAGTAAGTTCAACCATGGCCCTGGGTAGGAGTCAGATTTTTTATTTTAAAGGGGCAGAGGGCTACAATCTGCTCCGTCAAAGGGCGATGTTTTATTTTGGGTAAATACCATCTGAGTCGAGCAGAAAATTCAGAAGGTGCTGAGTCTGTGTTTGAAAAGAAAATAAATGACACATAGAAATGCTTGTTTGGAGGGGAGGGGGAATTTGTCTCTACTCATCTTTATAGACGGCAAGCTCTTTGGGACAGGGATCTCAGTACACGTGCCGCCCGCACAGATTTGTGTATCATGTTTATTTTCTTGGGATGGTGAGCTGGGCCCACTGCCTTCTTCCCCACCTGCTGCACACAGAGAGCTGGGGAGAGGTGGCTGAGGACCCCAGAGGAGTAGTTCTTGGAGTGAACACCCTATTGAGATGCATGGGGCAGTTACCTCTTCCCAGAACTATTGGCTCAGGCTCTCTGCAGACTCAGGCACACGTCACTATAACAGTTATGCTTGAAAGTTATAAGACTTTCAAACTTTTCTGTTCAATCATATGGGCTAGAAAGTTACTGTTTAGTTGCTGATTTTTTTTTTATTATGAAACCTGAAGGTCTGTTTTAATCACGTGACTCCAGAGATGGGTCCCTAGGGAAGAACCCATGGTACCGGTGTTTAAAGTCTCTCCTGTATATATGTTCCATCAGAGGTGAAGGTTTCTTCCTAAAACTGGAGGTACCCTGAGGCCCCTGCCCCCTCCGTGGCCCTGCCCTGCCCCACCTCTTCCCCATAGGCCCCATCCCTGGCCAAGCCAGAAGCCAGAGCTGAGCTGGGGAGCCCAGGTTCCTGCATCTGCCCAGAGTGGGGGGCACCCGAGAGCAGCCCCCAGCCCATGTCCCCCCAGGCTCCCTACCCTGGGCAAGTGGAGGGCCTGCGGCTCCCCACAGCTGCCCACGCAGCTCTCACCATGGCCCGGCTGTGGCTCTTTGGCCCCCGAGACCAGGCTGGAAGCTGGAGCTGGGTCAGGATAAGAGCTGTGCAGGCAGCTATAGGGAGCTGCGGATTCTCCACCTGCCCTAGCGGGGAGCACAGGGGGTGGGGACACAGGCCAGGGGCTGCTCTTGGGACCCCCACCCCACCCTGGGCAGCTGCCCGGACTCCCTGGGCTGGGCTGGGCTGGGCTCCAGCTTCCGGCCTTGGGAGCAAGAGGAGAGGCCGGGGACCGGGCCTGTGGTGAAAACTCGGAGGGCCATGATCCCTTGGCCCTCTCTGTTCCAGTGCCCATGTGTTCCGTGCACCAGAGTGAGGGCTGCTCGGTTCATGATTAATATGAACACCCCACTGGCAGTGCCGGGGCTGTCAGGGGTGCGGTGGGAGCAGCTTGTTCCTTCCATTCCTGGCCTGGCAGCAGCACAGACACATCTTCCTTCCGTCCTGTGTGCGAGGAAAGTGCCTCACCCAGAGATCTAGTGCCCACCTCTCCCTAATGAACAGTGTGGGGTTGACAGGCTGGGTGCCATCCGTGGCCAGGGCTCCCTGCACCTGCCCAGAAGAAGGAGCCTGCAGGGGAGAGATTTAAGTGGAGCCAGAGATCAAGGGAGGAAATCTGGGAAAGTGGGAGATTCTGAGGCTCTGAGACCATCTGAAAAGAAAAGGGTTGAATTAACCCGGATCCACAGTGTCGCCTACCTTATTTTCCTGGGCAGCCTCGTCCAGGAGAAGCACCGTGTGATATCTGTGCTCCGGGGATCTCTAGCAACGGCGTCCCCGGCCTCTTCACAGAACAGATCCAGGCCTTCGTCGTGTCTCTCACACAGATTCTCTTTTCCTGGTTTGAATTCCAGTGGTTTGATTTTTTCCACTATATTTGTTAGCTGATAGTTATTTCAGAGAGTCCCTTTCCAAATCCGGGCTCTGCAGCTGGGGCAGCACAAGGGGTCATATGCCCCACCTGCCCGTTTCTCCAAGTACTGAGTGATGCAGCCTCAACAGAGGTTGTGCCCACAGTCTATGGTCACTGGGTCTGTCAGATATTCCTGGCAGATTGGCTATTTGGTTTCCTCTTATATTTCCAGTACAGGAGTCACCCTGGCCAAAGCTGCTGGGATCTCTTGGCTTTTGTACTCTTCGTATCAGAAATGACTTTGCTGATGATTGGAGGTCCCATATCAGCTGCACAGGTGAAGGAGGGAAAGGAGAGATCAGGAGGAGGAGCTAGAGAAAGATAAGAAAAGAAGAACAAAAGAATTACATCAGCAAGGAATGGGGGAGCAGTGGGTTGTAAAGGAGCAGAAAGCGAATGAAGGGAAAAGAAGGAATGAAACAAACAAACAAGAACATGAAAGCTCAAACTCAGTGTCTGTCTACACAGTGCGTGTCCAGGCAGAGGTCGGGCTGGATTCTATTCCAGCAGCACGTGTATGTGTACCCGAGCTGGGAATCACAGCTCCCAGGTGCTGTGTAGACGTGCCCTCAACCCAACAAGGACATTCTTAATTCACAATGAGGTGGTTGTGACAATGTACCCCATAAGGCTTCATGGGAATATGCTTATGAATGTATATATAATATAACTGGAATATGTTTTATGCTACATATGCCATGTACCATATCTATGTAAAGGTTATGATCTACTGACTACATTCCTCCTATTTGTATGCATGTATCATTTTTGTACTTGAAGTTAGGAATATTGGCACTTGCTTGATTTCTACTGAAAAAGGAATGTGCAAATTAAATGCCCAGTCAAGAACCACTTAAGCCAACAATGAACTCGAAGTCGCCAATCCACGTTGGAGCTTTCCCAGGAATGTGGCTTGGCTGGTAAGAAATTCAGTCATGCATGGACATGTGACTTGCCCGTGTGACTCCAAAACTCCATCTTGGAGATGGACTTTGCATAGGAGAGAGGAGGGGGTCTCCCCCCACAAGGGAAAGTCTATTTAAGCCTGTGGGAGACCCCTCCATTTTGTCTTCAGTTTGCTAAAGGGATAGCCTCTCCACCCCCAAGGATACCTGATAGAGACTGCAACAAAGGACAGTACCTACAGGGGGTGTGAGTGATTGCTGGACCCAGACTAGAAGGAGACTAGTCTGTAAAAAGAAGCTTACTGGAACTGGGGAGGTTTTTATCTATACTCAGTTGTCTTACTGTATTAGACTCAGACTTGCGTGTTTTATTTTATTTTACTTGGTAATTCACTTTGTTCTGTCTGTTACTACTTGGAACCACTTAAATCCTACTGTCTGTATTTAATAAAATCACTTTTTACTTATTAATTAACCCAGAGTATGTATTAATACCTGGGGGAGCAAACAACTGTGCATATCTCTCTATCAGTGTTATAGAAGGCCAACGATTTATGAGTTTACCCTGCATAAGCTTTATACAAGGTAAAATGGATTTATTTGGGGTTTGGACCCCACTGGGAGTTGGGCATCTGAGCATTAAAGCCTGGAACACTTCTGTGAGCTGCTTTCAGTTAAGTCTGGAGCTTTGGGGCACGTGGTTCAGACCCTGGGTCTGAGTTGGAGCAGACGGGAGTGTCTGGCTCAACAAGACAGGGTGCTGGAGTCCTAAGCTGCCAGGGCAGGAAAGCAGGGGCAGAAGTAGTCTTGGCACATCAGTTGGCAGTTCCCAAGGGGGTTTCTGTGATCCAACCCGTCACAGTGGGTGTCTACAGCCACACACAGACTTGCAGTGAAACAACAATGGGTGGGAACTGAACCCCATTGAGTTATGTCAGGGACACAATGTGTGTGTAGAGGAGCCTTGGCTTGGCTGTGTCTTGCTGAACATCCAGCCACCCGCCTGGGACGAGCCGGGCTACAGGGGCTCCCTGGGTCAAGGTCAGCGGCAGCTGGTGTGTGCACGGCCAACGAGAGGAAGGGAAGCCGGTACAAATTACTGGGGCCCGGCGGTCCGGAAGGGAGCCTGGGGTCCGGCTTCCCCACCCTCTCGTTGGACCTCTTTAGCCATTCCGCCCTTGCTGGAGAGCCCCAAAAATATTTCACCAGGGCCCAAACCGGCTCTCGGCGGCCCTGGGTGTGTGCTAGTGACAAGGCATAAAAACATCAGCAACATATTAACCAAGAGCAACCTTGACCTGAAGGGTGATTTTATGGTAAATATTCTAAACTTTATGACTTTGCAGTCTAAGGAGTACAGCCCAGCCCCTTCAAAAGGCCAGCTAAGAGCTGGAAAGAAGATTGTGGTTTTAAACTTTGAAAAACTCATAGACAGAAGGGAACAATCCTACCCATCCCATACGCCACCCCATTCCATCTGCCCCGGTCTCTTCCCATCATTATTTCTCCTTGGGCCAATACTGAGCCCATAATCACGGTGTGGCCTGGTCCTGCTGGGGGGAAATACAAGCCAGGGATGCATGTTTGGGTTTTGTCTGACTCTGGGGAGAGGCGTGTCAGGCCGGAGAGAAGGGACAATGGGGACTGCTCAGCGCACAAAGCCGGACATGCTCACGTCCACAAGGAGCCGCAGTCTGCTTCTCTGCACAGGTTCTTTGCTGCTGGAGCTCCCTGCAGATGTCTCCCGCCAACACATCTGCTGCCATAGGTCTAGATTCTGACCCGGGTTGTACCATTGCTCCTTTGACTTGAGCAGTCAGCCAGTCTCTGGGGCCTTGCTACATTCTTCCATTGGAAGGAGAAATGGATTATAGGAGTCAGGTATTTCTTTGGTGCAGTCTTTATTATTTACAAACAACGTCCCATATTCCTGTGCCCTGACCAGGGTAGAAACAAACAGCACCCAGCACTTTCCTTACTCAGAACTCCACGTCTGCCTTTCCAGGGAACCCTGTACCTGAAGCCAGCTCTGTCTCTCCCTGTCCTGCCGGGATCAAACTCACCACTGCTTCCCTTGGCTTTCCGCCTCACACACACGAAGCTGCCTGCCAGTCCCTCAGCCCCTGTGTTTTCAGCTAGCTCCGGGGAAACCCCTCTTGAGCCTGGTCTACACTTAAAAGTGGATCAACCTAGTGATGTCACTCAGGGCTGTGAAAAATTTTGTGCCCTGATTGCCACAGCTACATTACATCGACCTAACCTCCAGCTACTATCTCTGGCACATCTCCTGGGCACCGGCTGTCAGTTACCCCATCACAGAAGTGGAACAGTCACACCACAGCCCAGGACCAGGGCTGACCCCCTCAGACTCTCCAGTAGCTTAAATACAACCTTTCCCAGAGCTCCCATCTTGGTAGCATACAGGGTTATAGTTTGCTTCTACAGGGAGGGACACACAATAGTTGAAGCAAACAGACACATGAGCTTTGCAAAAGAAGTTCTATACCAGGGGTAGGCAACCTATGGAATGTGTGCCAAAGGCGGCACATGAGTTGATTTTCAGTGGCATTCACACTGCCTGGGTCCTGGCCACCGGTCCGGGGGGCTCTGCATTTCAATTTAATTTTAAATGAAGCTTCTTAAACATTTTAAAAACCTTATTTCCTTTACGTACAACAATAGTTTAGTTCTATATTATAGACTTATAGAAAGAGACCTTCTAAAACCGTTAAAACGTATTACCGGCACGCGAAACCTTAAATTAGAGTGAATAAATGAAGACTCGGCACACCGCTTCTGAAAGGTTGCCGACCCTTGTTCTAAACTAAACACACGCTTTCTAAATTATCTCTATTTCTTGTGTGTGCTGTCTATGAGTAAAGTAACTGCAGGAGAGCTCTCTCCCGCCAACAAACAGCGGCTAAACCCAGTCAGGAGTGAAGCATTACCAAGTTTGAAAAACTAGTTTATCACAAGAACTGTCATCTTCTCTCCAAAAAAAGAAGATGCATACACCCCAGGCAAGCCATTGTGGAACATCAGTGGACAAAAGACTTTGTTGATTGCTCCCCCTACCCATAAAGAAGAGACAGTCACCTGTCCCATCTGCTTGAACTCTGGGGGTAAAGGAATAAAAATCCTTGTCAAGAAGAAATTATTATCTCTATGCCGCTTGAACTCTGAGGGGAGAAGATTTCTAAGCATAAGGAAGAGTTCCCCAGGGCTTGGCCTGGGTTAGCCCTAAAGGACATATAGAGCTTGAATATTACAGAAGCTTCTATTACCCTCTTGGAACTAAGACTGTAACTCATTTGTGTGCGTATGTTTACCTGCTTTCACCTTGTAGGAGAGACAGAGAGCTTGGAGCACTGAGGCCTGAACTAGAGGCTGTGAACCAAAGTCAGGCCATGTATTAAAGCAGATGCTCACTAGTTCACTGTCCAGTACATGGACTTGGCAAAGTTCTTGCTAGTGTACTGTATTATTATGTTGGTAGTCCATCGCTGATGGTGGCCATATTGTTGCAATTCTCATCTATGGCTATGCATATGACTCTGATGCACAGTTGGCCAACCTGAGGACATGGGAAGTCCGTATCTATGATGTTTAATGCAGCTGTATGGTGCCTTTCATGTGCAGCCTGGAGACGATTTAGTCAATCCTGTCACATGCTGATCGTGTCAGAGATCGCCAGTGAGTCCTGTTCTGAGCCATTTGTTCAGGTTCTTTGGGACTGATGCCAGCCCACTGGAGACTGCACTTCAGATTATCTTTGAAGCGCTTACACGGACGACCCTTCTTTCTTTTATCATGACTCAGCTCCCCATACAAGATCTGTTTTGGGAGATGGCTGACGCTTAGGCACTGGAATGACATGCTCATTGGAACAAGACCTCAGTCTTCTTGAGACTGATGGTGAGGCCAAAGAGCTAGGATGCTTCAGAAAACCTATCAACAATGACCTGAAGTTCGTCGTGCCTATAGGCCATCAAGGCATGCTCATCTGCAAAAAGTGCCTTGACAAGAAGTTTCTCCAGCATCTTGGTCTTAGCACTGAGTCTTTGAGGATCAAAGAAGGAGCCATCAAGTCGGTAGCAGATGTATATCCCCTGATCCAAGTCCCTTGTGGCATGGCTGAGGACACAAGCAAAGAACAAATTCATCAGCACTGGAGCAAGTACGAAGCCTGGCTTCATTGCATTTGAGATTTGAATGTGTCAGAAGTACTAGTGTACTAGACATTAGATTGTTTTATAAATATATTCCAGCTAATACAGATAAATCCCAATCTAGCAAAAGATAAAATG